AAATATAACAAAACTAAACTGAAATTTTAAAAACAAACCCCAAATCAAACAAGTAAGTTACACAAATAAAAGAAATCTCTTAATATGAACAAACTAAGGCTTTGCCTGTGCTCTTTCCATTTAAAATTAGAGGTAACCACTGGATTTTAATCATGGTCCAAACAAAGATGCAGCATGAGTAGTTTTTAATCTAAAGCAAAAACAGAATGGTCTGACTTTAGTTTCGTGAAACTACTACATAAAACATATCTGAACGAAACCGCAGACGAGCTGAATGAGATGCAGATTCACATTCTGACAGCAGGTGGCGCTCATGAACAGAAATTATACAGTGTTTCCTGGGTTACCGCTGTAAACAAAGCAGAGCTGCATGAACACTACTTTAATATGCATTGTTCAGAGGCAAGATGAAAAGAAAATACCATGTAAACTTTTCTAAAGATAGTCAGTTCCCCTCAGAGATACTTTCATATAAACTCCTACTCCAATTGTATCGCGATTTGTTTAGCATCTCAACCGATTTGAATAGTCACATATTTTAATCGATTTTCGACCGGCTCATGGTTAATCGTTACATCCATATGTGATGTTTCTTCAGATGGATCCCTTTGAACCCTCCTGCTGCTTCATTAGAGTCAGCCCTTTTATTTATCATTTCGCAGACGAGCTGACATCATGGCTACAGTGAGCAGAAAGCTGTGAGAGGCTTCTTCTGCGGTTCTGCTTGAGAAAGCAGCATTCAGGACTTCTTTAGTGTGCTACAATAATCCTCTCCTGCAACTGCCAAGTTCTCACTGCAAAAACCTCCCTGCCACCATTTGTTCAGAGTGCTATTATGTTTCTGTAGTCTTGTTTTGTGTGGCCATTAGTTCACCTTTTATATTTGTGATGCACCTTGTCAACTGTCAGATATTTAATAAGACACAAAAAAAAACTTTTACATGTGCATGAGTGTTATATGTTGTATTTATTGTTAGTTCAGAAAAGTTTGAAATGAGATTAATTTATTGTTGAAGTTACTCTGGCTTGCTGACCTACAAACTCAAAAATCCAGATTACTTTTAATATAATATGAGCTCTAAACTGGCCTCATATCAGTAGCCAGGACAAGTTCAACAAACATCAAACAATTAGTCAAACGCTCAAAAGCAGAACGTGATGTAAATGTGATACAGACCTGCTGGAGATGCTTGAGGTTTCCTCTGTTATAGACCTCTCCTTTTTTAACCTCCGTCTAGAAATCCCCATGTGAGCTATGTACTGACTCATAAAAGAGCGCCCCCTAGTGAATGACCGAGGAATTGTGGGAGGGAGGAAAGAGAAGTAGAGAGAAAGAGGTGGAACAGTGATGGTGGTTACATGGACAAACAGAGGGTTAATATGTTGACAGGACCAAAACATCAGCAAGAATCAGAGAAACAGTCCCAACCACCCAGAGCCATTGTGAAAATATGCAGTACTAAATTAGAAGAGGAAAATGGCATATGAATAGAAATTGTTATAATTAAGGATACACAAAAGTGAATGATCACCAGTGTTAACCAAATATTACAAAAACTTATCCTAAAAGATCATTTATACTACAGAAATAATGCTAACTTTATGTATTCCATATATTTATTGATAAATTATGCAATTTATGCACTACTATGCATATGCATAAAACTAGGCATATGCAATTAAAGTGATCACAAAAATAAAAAATTAAATATAAACTGCTGTTTTATTGGATTTAATTCCTGTGCTTGTGACTGGTCACGTTCCTTTGTGACATCACATTAAACTGGCGAAACATTTACAGGGTTCGTACACATTTTTACCAATAAATTTCCATGACTTTTCCATGACTTTTGAGACAATATTCATGACCTAAATGTTCCATTATTTTACAATAAGAATAAAAATCTGTTCAAATTATCATAGCATATGTTAACTAAAATGAATGACTATTAATGCTACTCGTTTGCTTTCTTGTTTTAGTAATGAGAGAGAGAAGCCGCAGCGTGTGAACGCGCCGCCATCTTTTTGTTCAAATCTTGAGTGCCACATGGTAATTACATAAGACACCCAGAGCATAGTAAATAAAATGAACATTAACTACATGAATCTAAGTAATTAGGTCACCTGTGTAAGGACTTCACCTACATAGACCGGAAAATATACACATTACTTTTACCACTAATGTTTCATGTATCAACCACTGACCATTCATGTGCAAAGACTCACATATGTGATAATGACCGTGCAACGTATAGCAGATTCGCAGTTAGGCTGGACATTGTAAAGTAGGTAGGTACTAATAATACAGTTTTTCAAACATGTGACAAACATTATAGGGGTGATCCGATCAGGATTTTTGAGGCCAAAACCGATCGCTGATCACAGAAAGCAGTATCTGCCGATACGATCACAGATACCGATCTTTTTAAAGCCTTCTTTTTATCATGTAGAATTATTTATAGTGATGATTCAATCAAGATTTTTAGACATTTATTCAGGGCCTAAATTTCATTTTTGAAAATGAATTCCTCTTTTAGGTGACTCTTGTGAGAGGGGATTTTTTTATTTGAGGGGTGGAGGGGGGCATTTTTTAGACATATTTTTATATGGTCATATATAATATATATGGTTTATATTTTTAGAGATATATTTATCTCACCTAAATATTTGATCATGCACTACATTTTTTGTTTTGACAATCGTGCAATTGTTGCACAATAGCCTACAAACAGCACAAGCCTGATTTCGTGAGCTGTGAGGCGGCTTTTTACACAGTGTTCACACATACTCCGTTTGCAGTGCATATGCAGTCCATGTGTGGTACGTGAGCGGTACAGAAGCAGCAGGTGCTCACTGTGCTTTCACACAGGAGTCTGCAACTCATTCATGGCTGTTTACTACAAACACAACATTTATCCATTATTTTGATTTCAAATCCAAACATTGTTACTTAAAATGCTTCTCCAGCATTGCGATCCTTTTTTTACACAGTACAGTAATACAATCTTTCATAGACATGTTTAAACTCAATAAATATAAGAAACACATTATTCAAGGCTTTTTACTTTTGCATTTACTTCTAGATTTATATATTAAGTTGCTCAAGCAATTGGCAAAATGTCTAAAGTACTTTTCTTACATTATCACAAGCATTCTAAATTAAAACTTACCATTGACAGAAATAGTCAGCTCTACTGCCTTTTCTTTTGCATTTAATTCTTTATTACACGCAATCCTGCGGCTCATAAAGAACTTTGTTTTCCTACCTCCACGAATGCCACTATTATTGCCTTATCTAAAAGTGCTCTTTTCCTTTAAATCTAGCCAAAAAGCCATAGCCTATGTGTTGACTTTGAAACACAGTTGACTTTAATTATATGCATTTATGGTATAATCACTGCATTTTCGTGTCAATCCATGTTAATTTTACCGCAAACAATGCGCTGTTACTTTAATTCAGCGCGTGCAGCGCAGCAAAAATAGACTCAGTGCGGAAACGATCTCTGCACTGATGCAGACGCACCGCTACTGGAACACACTGCCGGACAGCAACCGTGTGCAGTGTGAACGCTTTAATCCGTTAACATGAGCGCGGACAAAATACGCACCGCAAACGGAGTAATGTGAACCTGGCATTATGTGTGTGCGCTGTGAGTGGACATAAGCGCACGGTCTGGAGGTGGTCCAAAATGGCTAATTTGATGCAATGTCAGTAAAATCCAATAGATGGCACTGTAGCCTGTAGTGTGGTATATAATATAACCCCCGATTTACACCGCACGCGTCTGTTACGGCTCCGACGTGGCCACCGGAGCTGATCGCAGCCATTCTAGTCAATGCTTGTGACTCTGCACCGCTTCGCTATAGATAGGTGCCTAGTCTATTTTTGACGGATGCCGCACAGCTCAAATACAAAATCAAAAATCTAAATATACACCCGGTGTAAAACTGCATAATTGTAACTTTTAAAAATTTTCATTTCAAAAATACCTTGTATTGGTAGCCTACTATTTTAAAAATGCTTTATGCTCTGTAGACCTTCCAGTAGGAGAACAAATGCCAGTGAAATGTAGTGGAAATAATTTTTCGTTTTATCTTGCAAAGATTACGTTTTCCACACATATTTTTATGAAAATGGATATAGTTATTTTCTGGATTATAAATCACGTTTTAAAGGGGTCATAACCGGTCACTCTAGGCCTCCGCTCACTCAAGGCCGCGGTGCGTGATGCTGTTGTGAAAGCGAAACTACTTTGTTTGGCCTTCCAAAAGAGAATGCCTCGTTTATAATGGGTTTTAATGTTTTTTCTCTTCGCTCCGGCCGGATCAGGGCATCACAATATGGTAAGGGGCGTAACATTTCCGTCACACGCTTGAGGTATTCAGCCAATCACAACGCACTGGATAGCTGGCCAATCAGAGCACACCTCGCTTTCAGACCGATGAGCTTTGTAAAAATCGACGCGTTTCAGAAAGGCGGGGCATAGAGGAGAAACAATAATGTACAGTATGTGGAAAATAATGTGTTTTTTTAACCTTAAACCGCATAAACACATTTCATTACACCAAATACACCAAATAATGTTCTTTTTTAGCAACATCATATGACCCCTTTAATCATCTGAAACGTGCTGCGATTCCCAAGGCGACTTAAAGCAACCAGGTCAAGCGCAAAGCACGCACATTAGGATTGGTGACGAATGAGAAAGGCAAGTGAGTTTGTATTGCGCATTTTCCAGCAACCACGCCGCTAGTTTCAGTTTCTCTTTAAATATTTAGGTTGAGCGTTTGTAATAAATGTTTATAGTGAATGCCAATAATTTGTGTTTTACTTATATTTTTGTTCCTTTTTCTGTTCCGAACACTGCTAAATTTACAGGATTTTTTGTGGAGTGAGGGGAATATGTACATGTTTCTAATGTTTGTAAACGTTTAGTTTATTTTACATTATTTATGAATGAAATGATAAAATGTGTCTTATACATCAATCGACTTGTATACTAATACAACTTATCTGCGTCATAAAGTGCTCATAAAAAATAAGGCAGAGATGGTAGAAGAATATAACTGCCATGCATGTACAAGTAGACATACAGTTAGGGTTGGGTATCGTTAGAAATTTTACGGTTCCGATTCCGGTTCCAGTTTTGCCTAACGATTCCGGTTCCGATTCCGGTTCCATTTAAATTAACTATTATTATTATACAGTGGGTACGGAAAGTATTCAGACCCCCTTCAATTTTTCACTCTTTGTTATATTGCAGCCATTTGCTAAAATCATTTAAGTTAATTTTTTTTCCTCATTAATGTACACACAGCACCCCATATTGACAGAAAAACACAGAATTGTTGACATTTTTGCAGATTTATTAAAAAAGAAAAACTGAAATATCACATGGTCCTAAGTATTCAGACCCTTTGCTGTGACAC